CAAAGTTCACTCTATGGCACCATCCCTTCAGCCAGTGATTTACTTCTAGAATTTTCCATTCCCTCATTAGATGTTGACCTTCTGTTAAAAATACAGATGAGAACATCATCTGTGCTCCTAACTGTTTGGATTTCCTGATATTGTTTTCGTTGTGTCATTTGTCCCAACATGAAAGAATAGAAATAATATTCAATGGATGATTATTTTGATAACCCTCTCTCCCAATCTTTGATATTTGCACCTAGGAGGCAACATATCTCACTTGATAAATTGTCTGGCCCACAAATTGCAGATTCTGTTCTTTTAATAAGTGAGTTACCTATCACCAACAAATGCCTTTTTTTCTTTAGGGAATATCAGCTACTTTCCTTCTTATAAAGGAAAATATTTATAGCTAGAGTTGAAATGAAAAGTCCTTGGTGCTCTCTGAGTTTTGTTTGGGGTTTTTTGCAGACATTTCATTACCCAAACTAAGTAGTCTCATCAGTGCTAGTGATGTTACCTAATTTGGATAATGAAACATCTGCAAAAAAAACCAACCAAGAACTCTCACTTTCCTTCTTGTTTCTGCAACACTTGATGAAATCCTTTCTTCAGATGCCTGCATGTTTTCTTCCTGGGGGAGGCTGTGAAATCAATTACTCAGCTCCAGTAGGGCTGGACCTGACTGGACTAGAATACACAACAGTTTTCTTGATTTTTTTTTTTACCTCTGAGTGACATACTGCCATCAGTTTAACTCTGTGGCTCCATTATTCCAGGTAGTTGTTTGTTCCTTTCTGTGTTTAGTTTGGATATAAACTTCTGCTTTCACTAGGAGTTCCTCATCTTCCTGGTTGAATCTCAGTTTCTCATTTTCTTGGTTGAATCCCAAGCTAGTTTGCAAATCACTATGGGGCTAATCTGTTTCCATGGCAATGTTATTCAGAAAGAAAGAAAGAAAGAAAGAAAGAAAGAAAGAAAGAAAGAAAGAGAGAGTTTGATGTTAATGTAAAAAGAAATAGAAAAAAAAAGTAAATCCAAGCTTCTCTCCTAATAATTCACTTGGAGTAACAATAAGGAAAAGGTTCTGTGTAAGAACCTTTCCGTCTTCAGAGCAGCTCTTGCCTCAAGAACTTGGTGGGACTGAGTCAAGTTTGGTGGGAGCCTGGAAAGAGTTCTGAAGAGGCTCCTTCCTTGCGAGTAAGGAGTAAAAAGTAGGTTTCACACATAAATAGCCACCCAGTACACAGGGTATTGCCCCTTAGCAATGTCAGATATTGCCTGCATAGGATGCACCAGAGACTAGAAGAGGTTAAGTCTTTACAGACATCACATGTGACTATATCAGCCAATGAACTCTCTTATTCGACTCTTACCTAGAAACCACTTGGATATCTTCCCTTTCTTTTCTCTCTCTCTCTCATCTATCTCTCAGCAAGACAACACAGGGACTTCTCTCTCCTCTCAACATCTGAGTCATACAGTTAGGGTAAAAATGTAACAGGATACCCTGTTCATTGTCGTATGCATGTATATATTTGTAAATAATAAAAACAACATTTTGAACCTGAAGCTGTATTGACCAAATAACTTCCTCATAGAACCAAATGAGCACGACCATCAATATATATCTGATTATTATATATATATCTAGCAAAGTAGCTAGAACCGGGGACAGAAAGTGGGTGGGTGATGGGAGAAGGTAATGGGTGATGGGAGACAGTTTAAAATCCTAAGGGCTTTGCACCTTCAGGGCTTCAGGGTGACTTGAGGCAGCACCACAGAGTTGAGGGGTGAAGAAATGAAATTGGGATGGGGAAAGGAAGTAGTGGCCTCTTCTTCTCTTTATTCTCCTCCTCCTCCTCCTCTTCCTCCTCACCCTCCTGCTGTCCTTTTTCTCCATCTTCTCCTTTTCTTTCTTCTTCTCTTCCTACTCTTTAGCACTGCTCCTACCATTTGTATATTCTTCTTCTCCTGTTTTTCCTGCACCTTCACTTCATTCTCTTCCTCCTCCTTTCCATTCTTTTTCTTCTACCTTAGTAGTTGCATGAGAAAAAAATGCTGCACATTCATCAGTAACAGATTCCCCAATACCGTGCTGTTACTGACACTGACACCATCCTTAAATTCTTCTCCTTCTTCTCTTCCTTCTCCTTCACCTTCACTTTATTTTTCTCCTCTTTCTTCCATCTTAGCAGCTCAATTTTCATGAAGTTATTTGTATACACTGGATCAGTGAAGGAGTGAAATAAATAGGTGTAGGGCACCTTGATCAGAATGGGGCAAAGTCAAAGGAGAAAAGTTTTTTCTGCTCTACCACCAGAAGTGAGAACTGTTCCAACCCTTTTGGCCTTAAAACTTGGTTTTACCAGTTGGCTTGGGGCCACGAGAAGGTGTTCAATGCTGGTGATGGTTAATAGGGTACTGCCCATCTCCTTGGTTCTGGTTTTTTTTTTTTTTTTTTTGCCGTTTTAAATTTTTAATGTGCATAGTTTGAAATTTTGTTTTTCTTTTTTTTATGCTAGGCAAGCTGCCCATATTCACTCTATTGGGAAGATGAGTGGTATGGTTAATAAATAAACAACTAAATCAATGCAGGTAGTCCTCGAGTTATGAATGTAATGTAGCCAATTACATTCATAGCCCGAGGATTCATTGGAGTGAATCATGTAAGGTTATTGCTTAACTTCAAACAGTCACTAAGTGAACTGTCATAACTCCAGGATTAACTGTAAATATCAACATGCCAACCAGCTTAAAGAGCAAACTGATCAATCGGTGTACACTACCTGTGCTTGATAATATAATTGTGACATTTGGATATTAAATGTCAAATCAGTTAGAAGCTGAAAGTTGACCAAAGCACTGAATGATAAACATCAATATATAACTAACTTTCTGGCTCGTCCCCCCCCCCCCCCGCCCCTGCTGCCCAGCTGATTTCCGCATCGCCCCTGCTGTACTCACTAGAGCTGCCCGGTAATGGGTTTCAATTTCATCTGCTACCGAGTCGCTTGTTGGCGTGCATGCGCTCGCGCATGACACTTCTGCGCATGCACAGAGACGTCTGGGCAAGTGGGCGGAGCCTCCCATCGCTGCTACCGGTTCACCCGATCCGGGGTGAACCAGTAGCAACCCACCACTGGAGCTGCCTGAGTTGATTAGTGGCATGTTTGAAGCTCCGTTTTAGTCCCAAAAGGGCATGGGCGCACTCCCAACCAGCAAACCCATTGTGAATGTTAAGTGCAGCCTACCTCTGGATGTAGCTATAAAATTCTTTATAAGCATTAAAAGAACAAGTTCAGATTTAGATAAACGTAATCTTCAGTTATCAAACTTCTGCACACCTTGAAGTTTGCAACAAACTTGTAAGGTTGTATAGTCATATAATGGTTAAGATTGAGCCTTGAATTATGGCAGTTTGATTTCTGTTATGAATTTACAAGGTTGCTTTAGGCAACCTGTTATCCCACAATCTCAGGTCCCCCCATGCAATATATAAGAATAAAAGTGACCTACTTCATAATAATGGGAAGACAGAAAAGTGGAGACCTTGATGATATAGATGTTCTCATTGTGGACAGGGGATAAAGAGTTATTCTTCAGCAAAAAAACCAACCTTGAAAATTTCAAGATACTAAGAAAGATGTCTAAAGAAGATGTTGCAGAATCCCCTGCTGTTGACTGATTCTAGTGATTTGAACCGAAGTCTATTTTCATGATTATCAGATTTGTTATTTTCCATGTTTCATGATGTTTATTATAAGGCAATTGAAGTCACTAAGAAATACATTTTTATAATGACATTGGCAGCAAATATCAAAATGAGCGAAGAACTGTCATGTTTCTGGATTTTTGCTATTATAAATCCAAGTTACCATGTAGATTTCTGCAGGAATATAAAAACTCAGGTGTATTTGCCAATTGTGTGCCAACGTAATAAGGAATTAATGTGAAGACAAGGAGAATATTTTAAGGGTATAATCATTAAGTAACACTAAAAAATGCTTAATCATGTAAACGCTGCATCTTTTCCATTTAAAATTGTCTTAATCACCACCAATTGTCAATTGTGGAGCTCTCCTGAAAACAAGAGAGCCTCCAAATGCTCACTGCAAGAAATAGATCTTCATGGTTTTCCTGAACATTTATTGAAGAAAATGAAAAGATGTAAATTATGTAAAGATACGGCTATCTAAAATGCATGTCCCTAGACATCCATATTTCTATCCATAGAAAAAATATCTGAACTATATAAACGTTCAAAAATACCAAGATAGATATTAATACTGAAGCGATGTTCCCTTTAAGTTAGGTGTAGATGCAACTTCATACAGATAGTAAAGTTGGTCCACAGGGCAAAACATAATACACACAACAAGTTATTATTGCCAATACCTTATTCATCGTGTCTTCCTGTGATTACAGTAAATCCTGAGATTCCAGCATTCTGCTCCCACTACCTGCCTTACATTTTGCTGGATGGGAAGACAGCTACAAACCATTACTGTAGCTCCTGGTCCGTTCTGGCATGAGATTGGTGAATTGGGACAACATCATGAAGTTCATTGGCTTGTGCTGCTACTACCGTAATTAAACCAAATGCATTCAGTTGGTGAAAGAGGATTGGAGAGTTGTCTTTGGTTGATAGCAAGTTGGCCAAATTAAGGTTATTTTGTTTGATAAAATATTGGAATACTCTCCTCCCCTAGATGAGACAGATTCCCTCTCTTGGCCTTCCAAAAAGGCATTAAAACATGGCTCTGTGACCTTGCATGGGGAGCCCACAGGGCATGCAGCTGTGGTTAATGTTCTGAGACCCCTCCATTTTTAACAGGTTTTAATTATCCTTGCCTTTTAAATTTTAAGATGTTGTTTTTGTATTTTAACATTTTATTGTACATTGCCCATAGTCCCTATCTGAAGGATCTGGGTGCTGTTCTGTCCCCGTCCCACACGCACACACACAACAGACGTCCAAGAGTTAAAAACCAAACCAGCCGACAAAATCCTTTTCCTTATGATAACGGAACTTGGCAGCAACCTAGTGGATGCCTGCCAAGAGTTTATTACTCACGAAGGGAAGAGATAACTTCTCTCCGCTTCTGGTACATCAAAGTAAAATGTTCAATAATTACAGAGTAAATTAAGTCCAAATATAATCCAGCAAAGCCTATAGCAAAAGTCCGGCAATGCAGAATGGTGTGGAAGCTTTCAGCTAATCTCTGGCACGCCTTTTCTTCTGTTGCACGCGCTTATCTCTGCGACGCTGTCGAGGATCCAGCCAAGACTCATTACTCTCATCACTGTCCACCTGTGGCTGCGTGGACGTGCTTGGCCCCGGCCCTATCTCTTGCCCTTCAGTGGACACCGAAGGCATTGCCAACGAGGAGGGTCCTGGAGAGGGAGGCCTTGCCAACTCCTCTCCTTCACTCTCGGATTCCTCTCCTGCCGATGACACAGGCTCAGGTAACGGAGCCACAACAGGTGCTTCAAAAATGTGAAAATAAACAAATAAAATAGTACATACGTCAGTTGAAATCTGAAGCAGAAAATGCCTCATTTTTATTTTGTTTAAATACGTGTTGTAAATTCATAATGATTTTTACTAAAATGTGTTAATTAAACTTAGCAACCATGGGAAAATGAGGAAAAATTCTCTTATATCCACATATATTATGGAAGAAAACACAAGGAAAAGTAATAAATGACCAATTTTTACAATAGAAAAAGTATAAAAAACAGCATGTGCAAAAAACTGTAAAGGAAACAGCTATTGATAAATGATCTAAAATATATCCAAGTTTATTAACAAAATAAAATTATTTAAGGTAATTAGAATACAAAAGCAGAGTTTCAAAAAGAAATTCAGAATTCTTCACAAAATACCATGTTTGTCCCAAAATAACATCCGGTCTTATTTTTTGCCACCAAAAAAGGCACCAGGTCTTATTTTCAGGAAACATCTACTTACGGACTCACCTCGCATTGGCAGCACCAACAGCCTCGCCCAGGAGGCGCCTCCTGCTGGCCCACTTCTGCAACCATTTGCCACCACTCACACACATCGCCCTTGGCCTGTTTTGCTGTCAGAGGCCTTCCAGAAAGGCCTTGGCAACTGAGAAACAGGCTTCAGATTGACACATGCAGTGGCCCCTGACTTCCGTTTCACCATCAGATGCCTTCTGGAAAGCCCTCTGCAGCTGACAATAGAGCTCTTGATCGATCCAGAGCTCCTTTATCGGCTGCAGAGGCCTTTCCAGAAGGGCCTCTGACAGCAAAACAGAGGCCAGGGGTGACAAATGCGAGTGGCAAGCAGCCACAAAGGTGGGCCTGCAAGGCAAGGCAGGTGTTGGGGTGTGTGAGGCCTAGTAAGTAGGGGAGCTCCACCCCACCCCCGCTCTAGTTCTTTATGCATGCACGTGGCCCCATCTCATGCACCACCGGAGTGGACAGAGTCTTAACTAGGGCTTATTTTGGGGGTAGGTTTATATTGGGCACACATGTAAAAATCAAGCTAGGACTTACTTTCGGGGTAGGTTGTATTTTTGGGGAAACACGGTAGTTGGTGTCCTGATGGTCCTTTGGAGGGAAGGAATTACTATAGCAGGTTTTCTCCTGATTTTTTCTTATTCCTCTGGGATCCTTTTTTTAGAGGTTGGCAATTGGGAGAGGCAGGCAAAAATAAACTAAAGGATATCTGGAAAATATTTTAATATCACATAAATGGGAGCTGAGATGTTAATAGACAACTCATTTGTTGAGCAAATTCCTATTGATAAAGACAATTTATCAAATTAAGTTAACAGAGGAGCTTCTAGGCCAGGGCTGCCAAACTCCCAGGCTGAATGTGTCATGCATTGGCCATGCCTATGCCTGGTTTAGCGAAGGGGGGGGGAAGACAACACCATGATGTGAGTTTGACACCCCTGTTCTAGGCAGTGATTTACAGAATGCCCCAATATGTTTAGCATCATATTTATCACCAGGCAAAAATATTCCTCTATTTCCCCAAATCTTTCTTTGGTTTGATTTGCCTCTTCTATATTGGAATACCAGATATAGTTTCCCTATACAATTTATTAATTGCATGTTATTCTTTCACTGTTTTGCTTTTATGCTTTCATAATTTCTTTATATTTTAAATAACATGTAATACAGTTAGGGAGCTTCAGTTATTGGGAAAACTCAAATTCAATATTAGGCTGCTGCAAAAAAAAAAGGCAAATTCTGTGAAAGAAATCACTTAGAAAAAGAAGTAACTACAATGGAACAGTTATGCAAATCTCTGATGAAAGGCACAGAATACTTTTATCTCATAATGCAGAATTGAAGAAGTTGCAAAACTGCAAAATAATCACGATAAACTTGCAAAATAAACTAACCAAGAGCAAAATTACATTTGAGGTAGTTGAACGTATAACTATAGTATTTTATCTAGTATGAACTTGACCTTGGAAATCAGAATCATCATTAAAGCTTAACGCATTGTAAGCCGCCTTGAGTCTCCGGAGAAGGGCGGCATATAAATCAAACCAATAAATTAAATAAATAAAGTTGAGCGATTAGAAATAAAACATAGCAAAATGGATTGCTTCTTCTAAATGCAGACAATCTATGAAATTTATAGTCCTGGTGGCGTAGCAGACTAAAGCACTATTAACAGTGTTATTAAGACCAGCTGCCTGCAATTACTGCAAGTTCAAATCTCACCAGGCTCAAGGTAGGTAAAATGAGGACCCAGATTGTGCGGGCAACAAGCTGACTTTGTATAAACATACAAAAGTATGAAGGCTATTGTTTAACGCATTGTAAGCCGCCCTGAGTCTCCGGAGAAGGGCAGCATATAAATCAAATTTTTTTAAAAAAATTTATTCCAGAAGGTAAACTGCGTATCACTAACTTGACAACTTAAAAAAGGATGAGAATTCATAGAGAATATACCTGTTGAAGTTATCATTAGGATGTGTGAATTTATTTATTCCTCCAAAATCACCATTAAATCACTATCATGCCAAATCCCCATTTTATTTAACTAACATAAACCAACTCTTCTTCAGCAAGGCAGACACTGAGCAGCTAGCAGCCCTGTTTTGTAAACCTCAGTACAACAATAAAAAGAGTAGGGAAAGAAGAATAAAAAGACAGGGAACCAATTAATGTTGTAATCCTTTCAATTCTAGATAGCTGAAGTTCTTACAATTGATCAAGTCTCAAAAGAAAAATTTTAATGCCAAATTATATTAAAGGGAAGTTAGAGGGAAATAAATTAGGGAGAGAGTTTAGAGAGGAAATAAAATAGAACAACAGAGTTGGAAGGGACCTCGGAGGTCTTCTAGTCCAATCCCCTGCAGGAAACCCTACACTACTTCAGACAAATGGTTATCCAACATCTTCTTAAAAACTTCCAGTGCTGGAGCATTCACAACTTCTGGAGGCAATTTCCAGAAGTTCCACTGATTGTTCTGTCAGGAAATTTCTCCTTAGTTCTAAGTTGCTTCTCTCCTTGATTAGTTTCCACTCATTGCTTCTTGTCCTACCCTCAGGTGCTTTAGAGAATAGCTTGACTCCTTCTTCTTTGTGGCAGTCCCTGAGATATTGGAACAATGCCATCATGTCACCCTTAGTCCTTCTTTTCATTAAACTAGACATACCTAGTTCCTGCAACAGTTCTTCATGTTTTAGCCTCCAGTCCCTTAATCATCTTTGTTTAGAAGTCTCTTTGTACGGAGTCTCAACATCATTTTTTTACATCATGGCGACCAAAACCAAATGCAGTATTTCAAGTGTGGCCTTACCAAGGCATTATAAAGTGGTATTAACACTTCACATGATCTTGATTCTATCCCCCCGTTTATACAGCCTAGAACTGTGTTGGCTTTTTTGGCAGCTGCTGCACACTTCTGGCTCATATTTCAATGGTTGTCCACTAGGACTCCAAGATCCATCTCACAGTTACTACTATTGAGTAAGGTATCACATATACTGGGGATAGGTATAGAATGGGGAAAGAATGGAGAGACGAAAACATCTGAATAACTTAAATGAGAACAGAATTACTACTAATATAATGTAATATTTATTAACCTGGTTAAATAAGAAACCTTTTATAATATTGAAGAAGCTTTAATGTCCATCAAACATAAAAGAATAGCAAAAACATGGAAATTACACAAACCTGATTGTATTTTTCTCCAAAATACATGTATCAAGCACAGGAAAAATCATGCTTCCTCTTTTATATAAACGGATACAAACTGGTAAACAGATGCAAACTTCAAAAGAACCTAAAGCTAGAGCTGTAGCCCTTTGGATATCAACTATAGATTTTTGTTTGCAAATACAGCAAAAGTAAGTTTATTTTTTTTAAACATAAGGTACAAGAAATGATGTCAAGTTCAACCTATCATCCAAGGACAATTTTACATTCTTTAAACTTTCTCCAGAGGTAATATTGTTATTGGAAATATTTCAGTATGGTTATAGATATAAACATGGATTGTTTTAATCATATACCTGAATTTAAAATATAGTAATTTCTTAGATATAAAAAGTTAGTTAAAATATGGTTGACTGATACTTGGTGAGAAAAGAATACTACAGGTAGTCCTCAATTTGTGATTTATTATCACAATTGCAATCAGAATTCCTTTTCTAACAATGTAGTCAGAAAGCATTATATCACATGACTGCATTGCTTAACAATAGCAATCCTGGCAATCTGTTGTTGTCATTAACCAAATTCCACAGGTGGTTAGCTGAGGACCCACTGCAATCCAAGAAATTCCAGCCTTGGTCTCTCCCACAGGTAAGGGATTGCATCCAACTCCCCACACCTGCCTACCTTCCCATCGCTATCCTTTTGACTGGCTTGTATTCTACCTTGAGAGACAACAAGGTATTATGAAAAATACTATGAACTTTTGATAAAAACTCTAAATTATTAATGTAACAAAGCAATATAGCAATTATATTTTCAAATGTTAATTTATTAAGACTTATCGCTCAAAGTCTTCATTAAGGGAAATTATTAAAATTCTGGCTGTCATCTCAAACATATCTACAGGTAGTCCACAACTTACAGCAGTTCATTTAGTGACTATTCAAGGTTACGGCAATGAAAAAAAGTGACTTATAACCACTTTTCACACAACCGTTACAGCTTCCCCATGGTCATGTGATCAAAATTCAGGTGCTTGGCAACGGACTCATTTATGAAGCTGCAGTGTCCCAGGGCCGTGTGATCATCTTTTGCGACCTTCTGACAAGCAAAGTCAATGGGGAAGCCAGATTCACTCAACAATTGTGTTACTAACTTAACTACAATGATTTACTTAACAACTATGGCAAGAAAGGTGATAAAATGAGGCAAAACTTGCTTAACTGTTTTGCTTAACATAATTTTTGGGACTGAGATTGTAAATTGAGGACTACCTGTATTTCACATCATTTTTAAAAAATGTAAAATTCACCATCTGATTCTCACTAAAGCAATTATCCAGAAATATCAGATACTTAATAGAGTTATACATCCAGGAAAAATATTATATATAGAAACACTAATTATTCAATATTTTCCAAATTGGCTTCAGAATAAAAATAAGCATTATTAGCTTCTGGCTATTCAAAAAGAATTATTGTGCGTAAAATATCAACAACCCTTTTTGTATAGAACATGTGCAGTTCGAAAGCAAGCAATAAATTTATTTTAGTAGTCACTTTTTTATGCCATTTTTTTAAAAATAAATTAATTAACAATACCAGGAGCAAAGCAAGTGTTGGCAAAAATGTAAGAGACTTAACATATGTACACCTGCGGGTCTTGTGCAAAATTCAAAGGTTTTGTAAAATGTTTGGCATATGCAGATTTTGAAAACAGGAGTATTGCATTAGACCCCAGGTTAGCCTTATTAAGTAAGCAAATTGCACAAAGAATTGTTAATAGTTTCTTATTAATTGCTAGCCAATTTATAGATCTTATAGATCACACAGGAAACGTTAGAATCTTTTAACATTGGTTTGGATTCTACAATGTTGGCCAATAGACATAATTGAGAAGTTGATGGGGAGGGGGAAAGTAAGGCTAAGCAAGTTTGGTATAATTTTACTCAATATGCACAAGGTGGTATTTATATACTCCTAATGCACTAGCAATCCACGATCAGATATTAGTTTAGAAATAATTATTGAACAACGTATTCTGTACTTATTAATATAGTTAACATATTTGAAAGTTCTATTTGTGCAAGAAATATTATTAAACTATTTTAGTATTTTTTTAGAAAAATAAAGACATGTGAAACCAAATGGAGAAAAAGAGCAGAAGAAAACCTCTTGAGGGAAATGTGAGGTATATAATTCAAACAATTCAAATAAAATATAAATATGGCACATTCTCGAACTAAATTTCCACTAAGCCAGTCTTGGCAAGTCTGTAGCCCAATCCTCCTGGAGAGTATCCGTTGAGAAAACTGTTTCCATGGCTAAACACAAAAAGCTCGAAATCAAAGAGCACTTTCCAGGCTCAAACGCTAAGCCTTAGTGACTAAGGTATAAACTGATTAACAATGCAGGTGTCGCAAGAATCCTCGACGGTTTGGCAGATCAACGTAACAACTCTTTCAGAAAGAAAGGAACACTCCACGGTGATCTTAATTTCCAAATGCTAAGAACCGTCGCCTCTTGAACTACAGAGTCAGCCCTCCTTTCTTCCTTCTCTTCATCTCTACCCGTCGCCTGATCAACGCCTCCTTTCTCCTCAGCATCTTCCACTCACAATTCAATTACGACGCCCCGAGCTCTGCCGTAAACGGTCTCCTTCGCCTCGAGCTCGCCTCCTGACGTCATCTAAAGCTGCCACCCAATGAGAGGTAAGGCTTAAGTATAGAACCAGTCCTCGTGAATGCTATTTGAAGACATTGGGGCATGAAGGGAAAAAAAAAAAGGTCGAGGCGGGAAGAAATAGAGGTGGGGATGGGGCGGGACAACAATAAGAGAGACGGTCCTCTTGCTCCAATAAAAAACAGGCTACTTTTCCTTCTCTCTTGCCCTTAAGTACGTTCACTCTTCTCCACTCCTGTACTGCGGAAAGAGTAAGAACGGGGGGGGAGGGGGGAAGAGCTAGGCTTCCCCCACAAGGGCTTCGCGCGTTCGAAAGGGGTAGTGTAAGCAAGATGGATGTCCCGGTTAACCAATGAAACGCCGAGATCTATTATTTGCCTATAACCCCGTTAGATGGTGTATGTGTGTATGCGGATCCCCTTCTACTTTGAAGCTCCCTCCTCCTTTCCGTCATTTCTTGGAGCCAATGGGAAGGCAGGGCGGCTTGGGGTGGAGGCTTTCCCCCCTCCCCTCCCGCACGCTCGGAGGCGCCATGGGCTGAAAACTAAACCGAGATGGAATCTCCCAGTCTGAACCGGTTTGAGCCGGTTCCGAGTCTGTGGCACTAGAGGAGGAGGAGCGGGAAGAGCGGAAGGAGAAGCAGCAGCAACGAAGGAAAGCGAGAGCCGGGGGGGGAAACGAAAGAGCGAGTGAG